ATAATAATAAATGAGGTCAATTGCACATGTCAATCAATCAACCATGAATATTACAAAGAGCAATGTTAATAAGTACATAATAAAACACAACAAAAGAAAGTACTGACCATAGTTTATACCAAAAAAAAACTGGACTATTATTTTTGATAAAAACAACAACAACAATAGAGTTGCACGAGATCGTGGATCGATTGAAATTAGACATTCTCATCGTCTAGAGGTTAAGGGTTCGCGTGCGAGACCGAAGATCCTAGGTTCAAGTCTCGGGAACGGGATCGTGGATGCGCACTGCTGAGGAGTTCCATATTAAGATGAAACAGCCGTGCAGTGCTTCCAGATTTTCAATGGTGGCCTAACTTAGATCGACTCGTGATTTCAACTGAAAAGAATCTTTATCTTAAGTTTCAATTGAAAACTGACAGTAAACATTCACTACAATTCGAACATTTTTAAAGACAATAACAACAAGCAATTAGGAAAGAAAAAAAAACGAATCCCTTTACTTAGGATGATAATCTCATACATATTAACTTAACAAAACACATAGATGGTTTGATAAAACTGGTATATACACCACATAAAGAAAAAGAAAGAAGAGTTGAACAAGTATCATCACACTTATGATGAGAATTGAAGAAAAAGAATGACTACCTGGAGTTCTTAATTAGTTAATTTTATGAACAACGCGTGATCACCTACAGATAGATGTGTATTAAAACAAATGAACATACTGAACACTAGAACAAGAAAAAGGTTAGTAATATTGTTATAAGAAGGTGTATAATGAAGACAGAGAAACTTTTGGGATTATTTCACATATTATTATTATTTACACTTTTATGATAACTCTTAGAAAACTAATTTATTGTATTTCTATAGTCTCTATATCGTAGTTTTATTGCATCCATTAACTATCGTTATACAATTCATTACTCATTGAATATCGTTAATTAATTATGCACCGTTTGTTTGATTTCCGGCATGATTGTATGTAAAGTGCTATTTTATATTTAAAGCATCTTACTTGCTTACGCCAGTTACACCACACAGAGGAACACAGGCCGCCCAATAGCATTCTACATACAACTATGTGCTTGGCAATCCTTTTCAGTTGCTAGTCATCCCTTTCATGCCTACTTCCAATTCCCGACGTAGCGTGCTATTCAGCCTTCCTCCTTTTCATTTCCCTTCATCATTTCAAGTTAGGGCTTGCCTCGTGATACAGATTGGTGATTTCCGTAATGTATGTCATATCCACTTCTGACGTCTTTTCCTAATTTACTCTTCAGCTAGAAGCTGGTTTGTTCTCTCCCACAGTAGACTGTTGCTGATAGTTTCCGACCAACGGACATTGAGTATCTTTCATAGATAATTTTTTATAGCTACTTGTACCATTTTGATGATGGTTGTAGTGGTTCTCTAAGTTTAAGCTCCGTACAGTAGGACTGCCTTGACGTTCGCATTGAAGATTCTTACTTTGATATAGGTTGACAGTTGTTTTGAGTTCAATATGTTCTTCAACTTTAGGAATGCTATCTTTGCTTTGCCAATCCTCGCCTTTACGTCTACATCCGATCCTACACTGTTTGTCTTGACCTGCATTTGTTGGTGTGTATGGGATACAAGAGCTAGATCATCAACAAAGCTCAAATCGTCTAGCTGCATCCAACCAGTGTATTCCGTGCTCCCACTGATATGTAGAGGTCTTCATAATCCAGTCAACCACCAGAAGAAAGAGAAAGGAGGAAAGTAAGCAGCCTTGTCTGACCCCGGTCCTCACTTGGAATGCATCTGTCAGCTGTCCTCCATGCACGACTATGCAGAATAGTGGATCTTATTAATTCCGTATGATGATGACGATTTTCTCAGGTACTCCATAGTGTCAAAGAAGTTTCATGATGTCCTATCCACACTGTCGAGTGGTTTCTCACAGTCAAAGAAGCTGGTGTATAATGACGAGTCCCACTAAACTGATTGTTCAACGATCATCCCTAATGTCGCGATATAGTCTGTGCACAACCGATCTTCACGAAATTCAGTCTGCTGATCTCGAAGCTGAAAGCCTACTGAATCCTTCATCTGGTTCAGCAACACTGTTGGACACTTTCTGGTACCGATAATAGTGTGATGCCTCTGTACTTGAGTTCCCACACTTACTCAAATCTCCTTTCTTTGGTATGTTGATGAAGCGTCCATTTCTTCAGTCCGTCGGCACTTGTTCTTCCACCAAAATCTTCTTGAATAGAACGTGGGACTTGTTTACAGTTACTTCTATGCCTGACTTCAGCGCTTCATCTGGTATATTGTCAGGTCCTGCTGCTTTCTCACTCTTCATTTGTCTGACGGCCATCCTTATTTCTCCGATTGTTGATGCAGTGATATCTATAGGAAGCTCTGTAGGTGTGCTACTTCGATATCCGGTGGATTCGACGGAGCTGGTCTATTTGAGGTTTCCTCGAAGTGTCCCACTCATCTGTTCCTCTGTTCATGAATCTCAGTGATTAGCTTGCCTTCTTTGTCCTGGAGCAGTCAGACAGTCAGTCAGTAACAACGTAGGACCTCGTACGTACGTACGTACATCAGTTCGAGTTGCCACACCACATTAGCACAGAAATGCAGTTGTCTATTCAAATCCCCTAGTGGTAGAGGAAGTAAGAGTATAAGCAGTAATAGGAAAGATTAGAGTTTGAAGATGTTATTCAAGGAGTATAATCCAGTGAAATAAATGTGGAAAGAGAAAACAAGAAAGGGACATGAAGAATTCAGAAGATTAGAATTTTGGCGAACACAAAGAGTGGGTGTCACTGTGAACGATTTTGGGCCATGTCATTCAAGGTCCCTAACCATCGGTTGCTATCATCTCGCGGTCCCCAACCACGTAATCTACACCTACCACCATGACTCAAACCACTTGTCAGTGACTTCATGGACTTGTGCCATGTTTTGGTCTGATCGCCCCTAGCTTTCTTCCAATCTACTCCTATACAACAAACATCGCACATCGAGGCAGTCGGTGGTTGGGCATACGTAACACATGTCCCAGCCATCTCAACTGATGAAGTTTTACCACGTCATCAATCGATTTGCCATCCTTACCTAGCACCCGTTTCCTAACAACTGCGTTACTTACTCGATGCCTGGACCGGTTTATCTGGTTTACTATATTTCCCTGCCAGTTTATTCGTTGTATCATATAGTTGTTTCACATTTCCTTCTGTTGCAGCTTCTCACTTCTTCCATTGACCTTCTGAATTTACTAGTGATGCAAATATGATCTATCTGGTTCTCGGTGGTATGGTCCAATGAGACTTATATAGATTTGTGTGCGTTTGTGTGGGAATATTGTGCCGCCTATAACCAATTCGTTGAATGTACATAAATTTGAAAATCTCTCGCCATTCTCGTACGTTTCTCCAAGTCAGTCCATATCGTCTCATGATATCTTCATATCCGGTGTTGTACATTTCGACTTCGGTGTTTAGGTCTCCCATCAGGATGATCAGGCCCTTTCCTCGGCACTTCTCTACAATCGACTGGAGCTTCTAATGAAATTGATCTTTATCGCTTTCATTGCTATCGTCAACGCGTGTATAACACTGCATAACATTCGTTCTGATTCCATCCTTCTTTGTTCTGAAGGATGCATTTATGATCTTCGATCCACGAGATTCCCATCCCATGAGTGCTTTCTGTGCTTGCTTGGACAGCATCAGAGCGACTCTGAGTGTGTTAAGCACTTTTTTCTTCATGACCAGAGTACAACAGCATCTTTTTCGAATCTAATATTTGCTGTCCAGCCTGGGTCCCATGGGTTTCACTGATTCCGAGAACTGCCAAGTTGAATCTACTCATTTCCGTTGCTACTTGACTGGTCCTTCCAGTCTCCCACATTGTCTGGAGGTTCCATGTACCGATATTATTTGCTACTCTGGTTGTTAGAAGGGGCATCAACGTCATGACTTCTGAAGAATCTCGGCTTTCATCGTGAGGTTTCAAAATTCTTCTTTCAACTCCCAGAGCAGAGTTTAAATTGTTTGTTCTGGTTGGCATTCTTTAACAATGTTGTTTTCTACGGGATAGGGCTTCCGACCCCACTGTCAAATCCTGCACCTTTACCCGAGCTTGGGTCCAGTTGTAGCCCTAGAAGAGCCACAAGCGGAGATTTAAAGCGTGTTACGATCTGTTAATTCATGTACCTAAAGTAATGAGTGTTTGGGTAAGATATATTGAGTGCCTGAAACATAATAATAAAAGATTGTCAACTGTGTTCTCTTATCAGAGTCAAGACTGGGAAGAGATAGAAGCGAAAGAGTCAGTCAATAACAACGTAGAATTTCGTATGTACGTACATCAGTTCGAGTTGCCATACCAAATTAGCACAAGAGAGGAAGAAGGAGAGATGAGATGAAATTTTAAATTACTGGAAGAACAAAAATATAAAAACACTTTAACTATACTTAATAATCTAATACAAATGATGAAGAAATATCTTTTTCAAAGAATGATCTCAGTGTTATTTATATAAACAACTCTACTGTTTATATTTCTGTTTAGATAACCTTGAAATACAGATAAGCAAAGTGTTGATTAAAAAGGATAATTAACGTTCATTGATCAATAGAAGAAACGAATGAAAATAAAGCAAGATTTATCGTTTTTTAACTAAGATTCAGCACGACATAAAAACGTAGTTTGGCACATTTTCGTTGATGTTAAGTACTATAAATGTCCCGTCTCTATTGATATGTGTGATTCCTGAGAAAATTGCCTTGATATTGGCAATGATTGTTTGGAATTCGTAGCTCCGTGAGTAACGCATTAGGTTTGAGTATGTGTGGATATCAATATTAGGGATCCAGGAGTATCTAGTTTACTAGTCCTAAATATGATGAAATACGCATCCTGTAATCCATTGCTAGCCACTAATCAATTATAGTAAAAACGTAATAGTAAAAAATATTAAACTGGTTATTCCTAACAATTTCTAAAATATAACTTACAGGATTTGTCAGTCTATTCAAAATAAAATTGATTGTTTTCAAAAACATTGCAGCATCTTCTTGTTCCGGAAAATGTAAACCATATACTCTAGAAGTGATTGGATCACGCCATTCATGAAATTGACCATGTATTTGATACTCGAGTCCAGCTTTTAACACTGAATTAACAACAACCTAAGAGATAAAAAAGAACAATAATAATAGAGAGATGAGAATGTCGATGGATAAGAAAAAGTTGATAAGACGTGAAATAAAGTGAAATGAAACTCGTTCAGTATTTTTTTATTGTAGATCATATGCAAAAAGAAATGAGATATCATAATCGAAACTCAGCTTGAAACATTGAGTAAAGGTAACTATTTGAAAGTTAAATTAAAGTATTATGTGAATCCTTTGTTAAAAGAATGTATGAGAACGTTATATATAGATAGAACTTTGCAAATTATTTACAGTTGATTTGAGATACACATCGATAACCATCTAATCTCATTAGTGATCAGTGTTTAGTTCCCAGAGTCTCTTAAAACTACCAGTCACTATTTCTTACTAGAACTTCATGAACATATTCAAGTTAATAGAGAGCTGACCGTTACAGTTAAGTTGAAGAGTTTTCGTGGAAGTCTATTTGATTTATATTCACCATAGATAGATCTAAGCTAAGGTACCACTAGAAAGTACGTAACCTTGAATATTAATAAACGCCGTACTCGCCTTCAGCTTGATACAGCTTCTGATATTATTCTAATCAGCCCAGAAACATGTAAGAACATTGGAAGACCCACAGTTTTCCCAACAACACAACTGGCACACAGTGCATCTGGAGGGAAGTTAAATATTGTTGGAGAAGTGCCATGCATTGTTTCTAAAGGCACTGTAACAACAAATGCAACAGTATATCTTACAAAGAAGCCAGCACTCGACTTAATGGGGTTAGATCTTTTAGAAACACTTAAACTAGCAGACTACTCTATTAACAGTATCTGCAGACGAGTTAGTACTGACAACAACTCAGAGTGGAGCCAGAAAAATGCCATGCTACAAAGACACCAAAACGTGTTTAAAGAAGGATTGGGGGAATGTACGAAGGCCAAAGCAGTGTTAACCCTAAAACCTGCAGCTACTCCCGTTTTTCGACCTAAAAGACCTGTACCCTATGCTGCTCTTCCAATAGTTGAACAAGAATTACAACGACTTCAGCAAATGGGTGTTATTGAGCCTGTGAACTTCTCGAACTGGCGGTCAAGAAGTCGAATGGAAGTGTCCGTCTATTTGCAGACTACTCCACGGGATTAAATGAAGCTCTAGAGTCCCACCAGTATCCGTTGCCCTTACCGGAAGATCTTTTCGCTAAGCTGAACGGTGGCAGATATTTTGCGAAATTGGACTTACTAGACGCATACCTACAAATCCCTGTATCTGATGAAAGCAAAGATCTCTTAACGACCAACACACACAAAGGTCTGTTCCGGTATAACCGACTACCTTTTGGGATGAAGATAGCGCCCTCTATTTTCCAGCAAATTATGGATACCATGTTACAAGGTATTCCAGGGGCAGCAGCTTACTTAGACGACATCATAATTATGGCAGTAGATAAAATGAACCTGCAGAAGAAACTAGACCAGCTACTAGAACGCATAGCTGATTATGGTGTTCGCCTCCAAGCAGAAAAGTGTGACTTCTATATGTAGCAATTACGTACCTTGGGTTCATAATAGATAAAGACGGAAGACGACCAGATCCAGAGGATATTGAAGCAGTGAAAACAATGCATAGACCTAGGGACATTACTACCCTACGATCATTCTTGGGATTGGTCAGCCATTATGGTACCTTCCTCCCCGATCTCCATCGTCTACGTGCTCCACTAAACAACCTACTACAAAAGAATAGAAGATGGAATTGGTCTGCAGACTGCCAAGCGTCTTTCGAGGAAACCAAGCAACTCCTGACTTCCAATCTCTTATTGACACATTATAATCCTTCGCTGCCTATAGTCATTGCTTCAGATGCTTCTAACTATGGTGTGGGCGCAGTTATCTCTCACATTTTTCCTAATGGGTCTGAAAAAGCTATCGCACACGCTGCCAGATCTTTGACAACGACCGAAAGGAACTATAGGCAGATTGAGAAAGAAGCCCTATCAATTATCTTTGCAGTGAAAAAGTTCCATAAGATGATATATGGTCGACATTTTACCCTAACAACAGACCATAAGCCACTACTTGCAGTTTTTGGGTCAAAGAAAGGTATACCTGTATGCACTGCAAATAGTCTGCAACGTTAATGGGATTGTGCACATACGATTTCCACCGTATCACCCTCAATCAAATGGCCAGGCAGAGCGCTTCGTGGATACATTGAAAAGAGCACTACTGAAAGGGGGAGGCGAAGGGACGACAGGGCAGGTGATCACAAAATTTTTGACATCCTACAGATCCACCCCGAACCCGAATGTTCCAGACGGCAAGTCCCCTGCGGAAGCAATGTTCGGAAGGCGTATTTGAACCGTCTTAAGGACAAAAGAACGGTGCAGACTTGAAGTAACCGGGCGAACTTTCCGTTAGATGCACCAATGTCACAAATGCCCAGGAACACTGAGAAGAAGCCTTGGACAAGGAAAACGACAAGAATAATGGGACGCCGTCGCAACCCAGTTGTCAAACTACAAGTAGATCCTAGAAAGAAATTTTATTCAGGGGAGGTGTTGAGTCGGCTTCCGGAGAACTTCAACGGAGCCTCCCGAGACCCAAAAGGAGCCGAAGGGTCCTAGTCAATCAGAGTATGATGGAACGTTCTAGAATTCCAACGTGGCGAGCTACTATTGGTCGGTAGCATAATATGTCGTTAACGGATTGGCTCAAATATGATGTTGATTTAACAGACGCCAACATCTATAAATACCTATAATTTTCTGTACAAAAATGAACCTTGGGATAAAGTATTTTCTCTCATACTTGTGTCTTCTCTCTGGTGTTCAAGTCGCTGTGTAGTTCTAGACTGCGGGTTACCAGAATAGCTTAGGAAAACGAATATAGCGTTCGATCGACAAGACTTATCACTACCATACAACTGCCTGGTACTGAGCACCATGACATCACCAGGGATCGACCTCAGGCCATTCAGGTTTTGTGGTGAGCATCCAACGATCCCAATTCGGGTTGGCTTCCAAATGTACAGTCTTAACCTCAATTGATTCGCATTATAAAGGGACATTCATCCAACGCCATATTGTTGACAACGCTTTCAATTCCGATATATCCAGTGATATTTTAACTAAGATCAGTCTAAGATGAGTGCAGATGACAAATCAAATCAAACTCCATGAAAACGTTTTAGCTAAATTATCTACACATGAATTTTTAATGGGATCCATGATTTGTCTGAGAGTCTAGTTCCACTGTTTTCGAAGGAAAAAAGACAATTAAAACTAAAATGATTAAAGATAAATAAAGTTGAACTTTATTTCTGTCAAAAAAGGTGAACCACACTGGCAAGAAATACGATGAAACGGTCGAATTTCTATTGTTAAAATTTAGAACCGATTAACAGTTAATATCTGTAATAAATATGATGAAAGTCGCCTAAATAACTATGTCCGAAATAATGTAGCCCACTGTAGATCAAGTAGTTTAAATGGTTACAATACTCAGATTTCGACCAAAAAATCACTGGTTTGAGTTCTGGCCCTATCTACTCACTTTGGACAACCGGATGCAATAACATAAGAGAAATACCTCAAGGCTATTATATATAAACTTATTAGTTAGCAAATGAACTGAAATATTAAATCATAAACTACTAGAGACTTTATTGAACAAGACCAAACAATCTTACATGCAAGATATAGTCGATTTATTAAGAGCTGAGTAACTAGACTATTAGATTACATCATTACTACGTGATTTTTAACACGTTGTTTGACTTTTACAGTCAGTTTTCTGACAAAATAAGAATGATAACTATAAAATAACAAATATATCAACCAACTATTTCATTTATTAGAATACATAAAACAGGAGTTGGTGCATAGATCAGAAAATGTAATGATATCTGCATGATTAAAGTTCGGAAATTCTGATCATGACTAAACACCTTTGATTGCGAATTCTACCATAGTTACTTCAGCTGGAAAAATTCTGAGAACTAAGAAGCGCTAAATAAATGCCTCGTACAATTTTAAAGCTACTCGGTTGTACAGACTTAGTGGAGATCATACTAGCAGCAACCAATCAACGGTTATAGTTAACACAGAGCCTAGAATGTCTCAGGTTAAGTTGCTATACTATCATCAGGGGGTTGTTGAAGATATTCGATAATCATTACAATACTTTGGTTGTTTAATATTTGGCAGTTTCAAACACTCAGTTTACATTTGTAAGCAATCAGAAACAATGAGGTCTAGTAAAGTGAAACTTATTTTGTACTATTATTATTATGTGATGAATACTGATAACACCATGATGCAAAGAAAAGAACTAGATACAAATTCAGGGTTCATCACAATAATTCAGTAGCTGATAATGAAATATCCAGGCCATAATGCCAAACTCTATGACAGAGATAATTGGAATGTGTATACAAAAAAACAATCAGTAGTGGGTGAATAGTCTAAACCATAAAATTGTTGGTTCGAAAATTCAAACTTATTGCGCCTACTATAGTCTAGGTTGTATGATAGAATTACTATTCTTCGTTGTATAATGTCATTAGGTTATTTGATACATATTTTAAGACTCCGAATTTGATCCTTGACTGGGTCGTGAGTGAGCATTGTTGAGGAATTTCAAATTAAGATTGAAGAGATAACCAATACTTCCTGGATTTCACTTGTTCATCAGTTGATATAAAACTGTAACACAAATCCATTTAAATTTATTCTATATGAATTTATAGCCTCTTCACATAGGTTTTTTCAATAAGCTAACACTTAGTCCGAGTTCAAAAATCCCATTCTAAAAATCTGAAATATACGCAAAGACAAAAGTCTTGAAGTTATGAATGATTACAACATTTTTCTTGTTATTGAGAATAACATTTTGTATTTTCTATAGTAAAATAAACTAAGCACTATTGAACTGCATGGACAAACTATACATTTAATCAGTAGAACAACAGCTATGAATATTATTCAATGTTACCAAACAAACTTAATGTCAAATATTATCAAGATT